TGCGCGCGCATTGTCCTCGCGCGCGCTACGCAACAAAGCGCTCGTCGCTTTAAACATGATTCACGGCGAACGAAGCTCCACTTTGAATTAGATCCTCTTTTCTTTTTCTTTTTTTTTTTGCACAATTCGATTTTCATTTGCTTTTCTTTCTTTGTTTTGTTCATTGGTTCTGCCTTTAATTCGTTCTTTGTTCGTTCGTTTGCTTCTTTGTTTCGACCTTATTTTCTGCTTTCGTTTTTAAATCAGGTGGTTTAATCTAGCCTCTTCATGAATTAAACAAACAAAAACAATTGCACCTACCCCTGCTTAGGAATCGAACCCTGGTCGTAGGTGTAATAAATAGTACTATAATGTCTCACGGGAAATGGGTTGTGACTACGGAAGCCGAACAGAACAGAAACCAGTTTCCGACTTCTTGTGAAGGCGACGGTAACCCTGAATATCCATCAACTACGTGTTAATCAGTCAGTGAAGCAGCTACAATGCAGGGAGGTACTTTATCAGATAGCCTCATATCTTTCAGATTCAAATTCTATGGATATTGGTTTAATGTTTTGAACCGAAGAGGTTGGCAACACCGTTTCAGTATCATAACAACCGTTGCAGTGCACACAAACACAAGGCTAACCGCTCGCCTAAACATGTGACCTTTTATTTCCATATCAGTACAGAAGGCCTACATCATGAAAGGTTGAAAGCTACAATGTTCTTTTCGTCTTCAGAAAGATAACCGACATGTTATTATCCCACTTGAGTGAATGCTGGTGTTTATTTAATGACGTTATCAATAACTCAGATTATATAGAGTAGAATAATAGGATGATTAATGAATGGCGAATTGAGAAGGATGTGGCCATGGTCTAATTTAATTTACCATTCACGCACTTGCCCCCATAGACCGAGGAAAACCACGAAAACTATTAGACACAACAGCCAGTCTTCGGGTCGACATTTAAAGACGGGACCTACCAATTGCGAGGCAAGGCCGCTAACAACCCTACCGCGACGCTCGACACGTGTCAGTGAGCTGCTTCTTGCAATAACATATCTCAGAAATGTGAGCGGCCAAGACAATATTAAAATGAATCATAAAGAAAACAATTATTTGGGTCTCTTTCATCTGACTCAGAACAGGGACCAGTGGCAGGCTCTTGTGAACACGGTAATGAACCTTCTGGTTGCATAAAAGTGAGTTGTTTCTTTACTACCTAAGCAACTATCAGCTTCTCAAGAAGAACATTTAATACGACTCCCTGGTCTTGAAATCAACGTACGGCAAGGATGGTCAGACGCTTGAATGATTCGTGGGTACAAATTGCGGGACGGGGACATTCAAGTTATTCAAGTTTGACTCTTGTGATAGGCTGATCCTTCGTCCTGGCAGTCCTAACAACTACCTAAATGATTCTTGTTTTAAAACAAAATTCATTCGGAACAAGTGGCGGGCTTCACTCGTGATAGATGCCTGTGATATTGGAATTACCCGATGCAAAATTTAAATTTCTATAGTGGATATCACGTGATATGCAGAGAATAAAATTTTGACACGTTACTAGTATAGTATTTTGAAATTTATAAAGAAATTTAAGTGATGAACTGAGTAAGAATACGTTACTTTCACTCTTTATATGCGGCCCTGATGAAGGAGGAAGCAAGGACCTCTGAAACGTTGCTAAACTTCTACCAGACTACACGGCGCAACAACCCAGAAGACAGAAATCTTCAACATGTGCCTGCTTGTACTTGCACAGACGGCAACACTACGGTTTCAACATCGATTTTTAGTTAATGTTTTGTGCAATCAGAATTGAAATCGAGTGACGATCATTTCAGATGTAAATTTGATCAGTGATGGTGGTGGTTCAGTCGTCTCAAAAATTCTTATCGATTTGATCCGCAACTTCAACACATGTTGGAGTCTATGGCCAATCAGTACGAGCATCATCAGCACTCGTCTGCCCTCCGAAACTTTCTGCACATTTGTACACCCTCCTCTTCCGTCCAAAAATTCCTCCACTAGTTTTCACGCCTTCTGGCCACAACAGACATTTTTCTTCTTGGTACAGTGTAACAATGGATAAGCCAATTAAACGTGAATCACTCGAGAGCAAATATTCGTATTGTTTATATCCGTCGTTTTCAGTGATCAGAACGTAGTTTTTTAAGCAAACAAACAAAACAAAACCCCCCCCCCCCCCTTATTCATTTTCTTTCGTGTTAACCGTCATTTTTGCTTTCAAATTTAGGATCACACTGAAACGTGCCTAGTTTGCCTTTCAAAAATGGTGATATGTGGGTGTCGTGTTTTGACAATGAACAAATTCCGTTTCTTTACGGAAGTTTCTTCAATCCCAACTCAATGTACTTACTAGCTTTCACATTTAACAAACGGCCTTCATGACGTTCCTAGCTGGTCACTGCAGCCGTGTTAAGACGCGAATGGTATTGGAAGGCTTGAGCATTGAGATCTTGGATTCAAATTCTGCTCTAGAAATGGGTTTTTTTTTGTAGTTATGTTGTCCTGTAAGACAAAGGACGATACCCTGCCAAAGGAAAGCTATATGATTCACTTTTAAGAATAAATGCTTAGTCGGAAGCCATGGGGCTGAAGAGGATGTTGCATGACTTGCAGATTTTAACACTGTGTCAATACATGACCTGGGGTTTTGACGTCGGCACTGACCAACAGCTGGTTTTAAAGAACGAAGAATCATTCTGTCTCCGTTAAGATGGCTAAGATGAAGATAGACGGCATGACACGGTGTCAACAATAGTCACTTCCCTCTTTTATACTACTCCTAGTTCGATTCTTGGCCACCTTTAATCACGTGGGATTTCTAAAATCCTATTCAGACAGACAACAGAATTCTGCAGGTTACACCTCAAACACAGTAATTGCAATTAATAAAATGTGATTTTAAGTAAATTGGTAATAGGCCTGTTTCATCCACTGCATAGCAAAAAGCATCGCTAGACTCCTGTGTCACTTCTTCCTGCCTGCTTCCAGTTTCTTCCGTGTTTGTACATAGCATTCTCCGCTAGTTTCTATTCTCAAAACAAAAAAGCTGTATTAAAGTATTATAAATTAAATCAATACTGCGATTGAGTAACAGCTTGTGTTTCTCCTTGATTTCATACATAGTTAAATGAATGTGACCGCCACAAGCATAAGATTTATTAGAAGCCTGTTACCTTGCTTACGGTAGTTGGGGTCGCCTTTGTGAAATAAAACTTGACTGACGACCTCATCAAGGTTGTTAGTTCTTTGTTCTTCTGTCATTCCGATAAAAATGAGAACGTGATTTCAGACGTCACCACCTGGAAGACAATAACCTACACACTTGCTCACACCTCTCGATTAACTCCATTATTCGCAGAATAGTCTTGTAAAAAACTAATCTCCCAGCGCCAACTGGATTACCGAGCGAACAATATTTTCTTCATAGTGATGCATTCTTTATACGACGCTCATAAAATGAACGCATATGGAGGTGATCGTGTCTGCCCGTATTTTTCATCTCCAGAACAGCTAGACGGGTTTTGACTAACTTGCCTTCGGAGACAATGACGAAATGGCGAACTTAAGCGACACTAGTGTTACTACTGCAGTCGGTGTAGTGTGTAATTCCGATGACCTCCTCAGGCGCGGCTTCGATTCGTACTCAAAGTCACAGTTGTCTTGTCCTGTGATGGCAGAAGTCTTTGTGAAGACTGGTGGCTTGCCTAAACGCATCGCAGTTGTTTATTGGTTAACAGCGCATGTTTTAAAGTACAGAAGCTCACAATGTCGATCGCATTGTCCTTTATGGGCATCATCTGCTTCTCAGAATAAGCAGCAACAATTTGTAATGGTGGGTTTTCTTTGACGTACGAATATAAGTATTAAATGACGTTTATCCTAGGGTTACTGCTGCTGCTGCATAGCCACGCATTTCCCAACTCTTTCACTCCTCTCTCCTTTACCAGAAGTCTGGCAGACATTGCCTGGAAACTTTCAGACGCGGAAAAAGTATCATCTCCCACCTCGTACCAAATGCCGCGTCACTTAATAACCCCCTGTACTTTGCTTTCACTCTTTTGTCTTTTAAACGGTTCATAATTTTGTTACGGCCGTGGTTATACATCAGTAGAGCGCTCGCTTATTTAGATGACAAAGTAAATTCTCACAGTAACCTACCTGTGGATTTCCACTACTATTTTTCAATAGTATGTTCTTAAAATGGGGCCGATCTGCACATAACTTCAATGCCATGACAAATTACCTCAGTGACAATACGAATGAGAATAAACTTTCCCACGCAGTCTGTTTTTTCTCGCCCAGTGCCATATCTTAATCATTACTTAGCTTTCGAGCTGCCTTACTTAATTAAAATAATGATGCAGTCATGACAAAATAACAGTACGAAAGAAACGAGAACAAAACTGAAAAAATTCACACTTGTGATCACTGATTAAGAGCATATAGAACTGTTTATGAAGTCTGCTGAGAAGACAGTTTATCTTCTTTCCAAAGTTTTAAATCAGAAACGGAATACCTTATTTGGATAGAAAATAAAAAGCACTTCCACTGTCCAATTGTTCATTACGGTAACTGATTTATATTACAGAACTACAAACTAACCTCTACGTAAACATTTGTACATAGAATGTAAATAATTAAATTCGTTCGGAACAACTAGGGTATCAACACAACTGAAAATAATATGAGATACAACCGATTAGAGTATTTATACTGATCCAGTGAACGTAATAAACTTCTGAATTCGTGTCAGAGCTGTGAACCTTTGAAAGGTGTGGGGTCGTTGTTGTTCCTATCTTAGAATACGCTGAGCTTCCTGGTCTGACGCAGTCAACCTACTAAGGAAACGCCTGTCACAGAGGATGAAAGTTATATATCTCTTTAAATCCTGAACAAAATCAACATTTCTTTACGGACACAGAATTATAATTGCTCTAGGTACTTTCCCTGCTACAACCTTTCAATATTTTTAAATACATACCCAGATTGTTATTTTCTTGAGCGTCATTGCATCTTCCAACAACCCTGATAATGGCTCTTCCTGCCATACGTGTGCAATGCATCACTGCAGGTAAGTTTGGTTCATTGTTGGCTTGATTAGTGATGTCTGCTCCAAACTGTGGTGGTCTCATGCTGACTTTCTTTGTGCTACGAACTGGCTGATCAATATATCTGTTCTCTTCTGTGTTTCACGAGATATATGTCACTCCGGTCGCAACACTACACTCCGATACTTTCGTAAAAACCTTCGGATTCTGCCATGCCGCTTTGTTTATATACCAACAGCTGTTTTAGCTCCCACTCGAACACAAAGTTTTGACATTAATCAACGCATGCGCAAGAGAGATTTGCGCATCGCCGTAGTGCGAAACCACAACTGGGGGAGATGACGTCATCAGCAGCGCAAGGTGAAATACGAAACAAAACAGCTGCTTGGACAGAAATTGTAATATTGGTTGCCAACTCCGCATCGCCATGCCAACAATTTTACCTGGGTTATAAACTCCGTTTAATTTTAGTTTTTTGTCGGCGGGAAGTAACTTCCGGCTTCAAAGAAAATAAAAGTGGCCAACGATCCGTACAGTGTATGTCAGACTGCACATGCCAAAAAATAAACGAACGACGTACCAAACGCACAAAAGCAAGAAAGTGCATCCTTTGTGTGTGTACTGCCCAGACATTGAATCAAATTTACAAGCTAAACTGCTCTAATGCAAACATGCTAGTGTCATCTGGCTTAATTATTTGAAACTTACTACAGTGCATTCACTGATAAATTTGAACGCAATTGTCATTTCTAACTTTTGGCAATAGTTCATATACAATAGTTGCAATGAATATAATAAATCTATATTATTAAACAAGAAAATACATGCATCACTTCTACCCACGATGACTTAAAATAGCTACAAAGGAAAGCTTGATGACGTACCTTTAAAATATTGTTTTCTCTCTTCGTGTAGAACGTTATCACACTACCTCCATTAACAGAGACACACTCTTGCCAACCTATAATTCTACGAGTAACCTTCTGCATAGCATCTCTGTATCATAAGTTATGTAGCGTGAAAGGGCGCATTTCTGAGAAAAGCGAAGACATTTTGGATCACGTAGTTCTAAAAATCAAAGCTAGTACCTACTTCAGTACTTTGTCCTTCAACAGATGTCGCCTTCTCTGAAGGATTAGAAATGTGCACTCCGTGCATACCAGGTGACTCTGTGACGGATCAAATTCGGTTCTCTGAATCAGTGACCATTACTGCAATCAGAGATGTCTTCAGAATAGTGGATACAAGGAGTTGGTATGTTTACTGATGGAACTTCAATTAAGGGGGTTCATTCTGGGTTTGAGGCTCACATGAAGCAATGAAGATGACTGTCTTTTGGCATGTTAAGCCATTCAGTCTTGTAGCAATTTACCGACGTTTCAGATATGCTTGATGTATTGAAGTAGTAAGCATAGCACAGCTTCTGAAAAAGTTTATAAGGGACTAAAAAGCTAATGCTAAAGCTGCCGCACTATACACCAAATCCAGCTATACGTTTCGTGCAGAAATGGTTTAACGGAATAAGGCTCGTCATCTTGCGCTTCGCTCAAGACTTGCCCACTAATCAGCGTTCTGCTTGGTCGGTCGGTCTCGTCACACATATCGGCCTAATGATGGAGGTCGATCAGATCTGCGAAACGTTTTTTAACTCATCCTTGACGCTGATAATCGCCGAAGAGGATTTCAATGCAGATTTTCTTTCTGTATTTCTTCCGAGACTTTCGTTTGCCTCAGTCGTGTTTAGATTCCAAATTAAACTAGACATTTTGTTAAACATATTACGTGGCGCTGCAAATCGTGGAACTTCGCCTTTTATGAAATCCAAAGGTTCATTACCCTCTGTCCTGGGCCAAATTAGTGCAGATCGCAATCTCTTGCCCTGTTTATTTAATAACATCTTGAATATCAATTCGACCTTGAGCTTATAAAATTCTAGTAATACCAAAAATTTTATCTCGAGCAGAGGTATGAATTAAGACACTCCAACATATAGAGGATGAAATTCAAACTGCAACGGTGAAATTGTTAAGATTTGTCAAAGAATGTACAAGAATAATAATTATATGAAAATAAAAAGTTCCGACATAATTCAGCACAGACCTCGACATAATAAATGGAAAACAAAGAAACACTGAATTGTCGTGTCCTAAGAGTGGAAGACGCGAAACTGATAAAAGAGGCATGAATTATTAGCCAAAATAAACGGAGAACCTGCAACACCCTTATACTTGATAGACCATGACGGTGATTTCCTCTTCCTGGAGTACTTTACCGTGCAACATAAAATGATAAATTGGAACTCCGTTCGTGCTTGCATAGGTCATCTTTAATTTATTTCTAATTGAATTAGATTCGAGAAGGAAATTTAGTCACTGACCTACATTATCTGATTCGCTTAAGCAAAGATTAAGTCGATCAAAATTTGTTTCCAACTGCGTTGTGTGACATAGTTGAGAATATTTTACGATCGACATGTTATCAGTGAAATATATCAACGAAAATTCTGAGTAAAAGTTTCCTGCGCATTGTTAAATAAATAAAGAATTCTGGAACGCTATGCAGTTCCAGAATTCATGTTTATTAAACAATGTACAAAGTCTGTTTACCACAAGTCTTAACCCAATATTATTGAAAGAACCTTTAAAATAGTCTGTAATTTTCCATTACGGGTAAGTTTATTTTCTCGCGCCAAGCCCAAATGTTTTAACTGCGTGAAACAAACGAAATTCGAATGGCGAAGGTTTAATAACTCCTGGCTGCTGCTGCTGGTTCCTGGCAGCCACGGGGCAAACCAAAAGGCCAGAAAACTTCGCAGTTATGTTTTCTATTTCTGGAACGCTCGATGTCTGCCAAATGCAACTTGTCCTGGAATAAATACATCGCCCATGTTGCTTAGTGCGTTGCCTTTTCTTGTACTCAAATTCCCCCGTCATCATTTGGTTTATATTGGCCAAAAGCCTGCGACCATGGTAACAGTTCTTGGAGCAGTGCTTCAGAAACAGAAATTGGAAGGTAGAAACAAAATCTTATTCACCAGTCGTACAACACAACCCAACATCGAATATAATGCTAGTTCTTATAATATTCTCGTATTATTTTTGTTTATTAAGAGACGCTTTTTCAACTATATGGGTTACATGACATTGATTTACAGGATAAATTGTGAGTGGCGAATTTAAAATACAATGGCAACAAGCAACCGTCCCTTTAAAGACATCGTCGTTGTATTTTTGGCAGTAATGTGGAAAACACAAAAACCCTCGCAAGCATAGAACATTTCGGAAATTTTATTACGATTGAGGAATATTAAAGCTGAATCATTATAAATTCCTCACGCTGATCCATGTGAATGTGACGCAACAAGATGGCTATCTGATTTTATGTATTTAATATTTTTATCCTTATATGTTTTCGTTATAACCACTTGTTAGCATTTTATAACTTATTTTGTAAGTATGGATCTACAAACCCAAACCATCATGTAGATTACATATTTTAGTAAATGTCAATGACGTTTAAATGTGTCTGAGCATCCGAAGATGGCGAACTGACGAAACATATAGTGGAAACTTATTACTTCTGTACTTGAAATAAACAATCACACAGCTGTGTTGACGGTATCTATAAACATTTAATGAGTAATATATACAACAGCCTTTCAAGATTGGTATTCCACCTTTAGGGAAGGACTTTGATCGAGTAGTGAGGAGGATATTTAGAGCCTTCTTCAGAACAAGTCACAAACTGAGTTCCAAAACATTCTAGAAATTATCTGAACTGATCTTTAAATAACAAATACACGTGCCGAAGGAAAACATTCTCGGACCTAATAAACTTTATTTCTGGCAATGCAAAATTATGTTCGAAGAATATCATGTTATTGATATGGGGTAACATTTTATTTAAAAACTACTGTCCCTTCTTTGAGTAAACCGGAGCATCGTGTAGCGTTAGTAAGCGACTGCTTTGGAAAGTGAGCGTCAGTGAGTACACAGAATGTTCAAAATGTTTTGGTGAGTAGAAACAAATGTGCGGTCCGCGGAACCACACGTAATGGTTAAGCTGGCCGGGTGCGTGTACAGCTTTGGACAAGTCTGCCACGAAGTATGCACCTTATTAAAAACACGGCGTGGTCACTTGTGCCAGGTCTCACACCAGTGAATGACTTCATTCTATCTTCTTCCCTGCGAGTCATTGTTCACCACACGCAAGTTTGCTTCACGGTATTGTATTAGAAAAGTACTGGTTGGACTCAGTCCCCATTAGGAAGTATTGTAATTATGGAAGTTTTAAATGTCTGGTCTTTTCTACCTAGTCAGTATTCATAATCATCGTTCAACAATTTACATATTCTCGTAGTCAAAATTGCATCTACTCATCACCATCAGTAACAAAAGGAAGATTATGATTTCATTCTTGTTAACTTGCCACTGGTGCTTCAAGAAGTAGACTACGCTTAAGATCATCTCGCTATGTCTGGCTAAGGGTTGAATTTTCCTCAGCTTCGCGGCGTTACACTGGGGTTAAAATTCCTAAACTCGATGTACACAGAACTCGTATGGCCGGCGGTAAGTGTTATGAGCTTCAAAAGAGCCCACGCTTCAGTCAACATAATAGTAAACGTTACATCTAACTCCAAGCAACAGAGTCCGTCTTAAAACGATGATAATTGCCCAGCAAGTAAATAAATACCCCGCACGTTACAGTATTATCTCCGACTTACGCTGAGATTTTCCAACTTGTCTCTTCCGTTAAAGTTTCCCGACCAAAATTTGTATGCATTTATAATTTATCCCATACGTGCTACATAAAGGAGGTTAACATCGGCGATCTTAAACTCCTTCATTTTATCACCCTAATAACATTTGAATTGCGAAGCTCCTCACAATAGTTTTCTGGAACCTGCTGTGATTTTCTCATTCTTAGCTCCAAATATTCTCCTCAGCACCCCGTAAACACCTCGAGATTCTTCCCTTAAAGTGAGAGATGACGTGTCGCCCAAATATTTTTGAGCAAACGACGAGGCAAAAGATTAACTGAGCAGCAGCAAGCATTCCTCGAATTCAATTCCCTCTTAATTTGTTTTCGAAAGCAATTTTCATTGCTTATTGTTGTTTCGAAATATTTTGACTTTGGCACGTCTTACGCCCATTATGATTTTGTCCTGCGTTCTGGTGACGAGGGATGAACCCACAGACCCACATAGTTTAACTCTTA